TGTGTGAGTTGTTTGACACCTAGAAAATCCCTCCTAGGTACGGCGGAGTGGTCGGGGTAGGTGTTGAGGAGGTGGACAGCTTGGTTGGAGACTAAACCGAACCAGTATGGCCTGGGGTGGCCTCTATGTCTTGATTTGGTGAATTTAATCCTATCCTTGTATCCTGGGCTGAAGACCACATGATGCAGTGGGTCGTGGTGTGGGCTTAACAGGGAATGGGTGAGTCGTTGCTGTTGGAAGGAGAGTAAGGTTTGTGAGGGTAGTACAGGGCGGTGTGCTTTACGCCAAACTGCCTGGTTAGGGATGTGGGAATAGTAGGAGGCCTTGATGCCCAGGGCGCGTCTTAAATACTGGAAGTACCATCCGTCAATAGAGCGAAGGTGTTTGTCTTCTAGGGTAAGTGAGTCTAAGCCATATATGAGTACTGAGACTATGTAGGAGTGGAAGAGGCGGGCTTTGGCTTTCCAACAGAGCCTACTTCTCCACAGGTTTTGTAGTTTCATGTACGCTGCGTGTGCTTTAATTTTACGGGCTTCTATGGCATGCTTGGTGGTATGCTCCCACGACACCTGTGTTCCTAGATACTTGGCGGAGTAGACAGTGTTGACCTTTGTACCATCGACGAATCTAACATCCGGGTCGGGTGCGTTGGGGTGGATAAGGACTTCTGTCTTTTCCGTGTTCAAAAACATGTTATAAAGAGTAGCTTCGACCTGTATGGCGCGGAGTAATTCTTGTAGTTGGGGTGCTGTGACGCTCATGAGCATGGTGTCATCTGCATATTCTAGATCGTAGACTGGCTTTCCTATAGACCAAGTGTTGGTAGGTACGCCATGAGTGCGTAGTCTTATGTCCACGTCATGGAAGAGCACTGTCATAAGAATGATAAAGAGGTAGGGGCTAAGTGGACATCCTTGACGTATGCCTGTGTGCGGAGTAGCCTCTACAATGTCTCCACTGGGGCTCATTGTGGAGAATGTGGGGTTTGTGTAGAAATCCTTTATGATTGTGATATACTTGGGGTGCACTCCAAAGCGCTCTAGTGCTATGATTAGGGCGGAGTGGTCGACCTTGTCGAAGGCCATTTTCCAATCTAAGAATAACATGTGAATTGGCTGTCCCGTTTTGGCGGAGTAATCCTGTACTCGTCTGAGTATGAATATGGGGTCGGAAGTGCTTCTGTTTTTCCTGAAACCGTACTGGGTTTGGCGTATATGGTGGTCATGATTAAGAGCAATTCTGGCCTGTATAATAGCGGCATAAAGCTTGTACATGGTATGAAGGAGGGCAATGGGCCTGTAATTGGCTGGGTCGGACGGGGAGCCTTTTCCTTTGTATATGCTTACAATCCTGGCCTGCTTCCACTCTTGAGGGATTTTCCCTTGGGATAAGCACTTGTTGAGGAGGCGGAGTAAATGTGTCTCTTCATAATAATTGAGGAGTTTTAGTACATCCTGTTTTAGTCCGTCGGGGCCAGGGGCTCTGTCAGACTTAAGGGTTCTTAAGACGTCCTGTAGCTCTGCCATGGAAATTGGTGCTACTGGTTCAATGGATGGGGGATGCAATGGGGGGGAGTCGCGGAGTAGCTGGAGTTCTTCCTGTGTGACCTTGGACGGCGCCCATTGTACTGTTGTCAGGTGTTTACTGAATGCTTTATGCGTCTGTGACCATGGGATAACTTTCTGCTGGTCCTTGAGACGGTGTCTACGCTCTCTGAATCCGATCTTGGTGCGGCGTATTTTACGCCAATTGTTAGCATGCGTAAGATTGGTGTCTTCCAGAAATTGTTTTCGAACCCAATCCCTTTTAAGTTCTCTTGCGTCGCGTCGTACGGCTCTGTAGTAGGCGGTGTAGTCTGGGCTGTTAGTGGTTTTGAGGGTTTTCGCATGATGGATCCTCCTTGCCAAATCGTCTGTGATCCAAGGGCGAGTGGGCTGATAGTGCTGTGTAGGGAACGCCTGTTTCTCTGCTTCGGTTAAGGCGTGGAGAAGTTTTTTGTAGTCTTCTCCCAAGCCTGTGTGGGTTTGCGGAGGCTGCGTGTGCAGATAAGGGAGCGGAGTAATCACGGTCTGCAGGTCAGCCCTGCCACCTGTACGTATTTGGTCTTGTTTCGCCTGACCTGCTAAAGAATCTGCAATTTCGTTTCCCAGATTGCCTGTGTGCCCCTTGACCCATTCCCAATTGATGCGGGTTTTTTGTTCTAGGGCGTAGTAAACTGCGCGTGACTGTTCAATCATGTGCTTATGTCTTTTGGGGCGGTGTGTGCCACGGACGGCATTTGCTGCCTACTTACTGTCGTAGTGGAAGGTGACATTGGTTGGCAGGGCGGGCAAGGATAACATCCAAAGCTGTGCCTCCATTAGAGCGGTGAGCTTCGCTGTATTGTTACTAGAGACTGTTGCCCCTAAATGAAAGGCGCTGCGTGAATCTGTGTCTACGGGGCCTTTGGCGTAGTACTCTGTGTGGTGCGGCCTGTATGCCACGAATCCCCATCCCGCTGGCGTAGTAGCCGTGGCTGTACCTTTTGAGCCTGATCCATCGGTGTATATGTGCCATTGTTGGGGGAGGGGGGGTGGGATTTCCGGCTGTGGATCAGGTGAAAGTTCCGCTTTCACAGAACGATGGAAATTCTCAAGACATTCTTTGGGAAGGTTCTTGTATTGATGGCGGAGTGGGCGGGTAGGTTTGGGGGTCTTTGCCGAAAGTTTAATTCGAATTTCTGTGTCTAGCAGGTAGTGGTCACTGGGAAAGCCTGTGGTATGTATGGCCTGTATGCGTTGTATAGAGGGTAACCATTTGGCAGGAACAACTAATTTATCCAGGTTTTGGAAACGCTGAGGATCCGCTGTGATTGCCGTCTCTGGTGGGTCCAGTAGCGGGTGGTCAGTAAGATATCCTCGGACGTGCGAAGCGAGCTCAATATTAGTCATGGGGCCCTGGGATGGGAGGGTTTGGAATTTATCCCAAATTTGTAAGAGGCGGAGTGGATCCTGAAGAAACTGGGACCAGCAGGCCGGTGGGGGATGTTTATCTTTATAGGTAATGTGCTTGTGTAGGTTGGGCTGTTTAAATGTGAGGGCGTCAGTGGAGTCTGTAAGTTGAAGGAGGCGGAGGTACAGGAAACGGTTGGAGTCCGATGCCTGTCTGATATAGGATGGACCTTTGCCGAGTATGTGTGGGCCTAAGTGCTGGTGTTCCGAGGGGGCTCTACCTTGCAGGCGGACGTTGAAGTCTCCAATTACGTAGTAAGGTTCTGGTTGCGGAGTAGCCGAGACAATGGTTTCCAATTTGTCCCAAAATGCAAATTTTTTATCTGCGTCGCTCTTGTCATGTGGTGCGTAGATACCATGTATATGTGTGAGTCCTGCTGCTTGTTTAAGAAGGAGTTCGATATGCCGGCTAGTGTGTTGGAGGATGTCCTGAATGAAAGGCTTAATACGGGGAGATATGACTGCTGTTACCCCCCCATATTTGTCCTGTTTGTTACCGTTGTGGACAAACCAGTATCCTTGCGACATAAATGAGTGGTAGCTGGTGTTGCGTGTCTCGGTAAGGATAAGGATGTCTAGTGACCTACGTTGCATGAGGTCAAGTACTGCTTGGTGTTTTAGGAGCTCCCCTAAAGCCTGGACATTCTGTGTTCCCAATCGAACTTTAGTTCCATACTGTAGCGGCGGAGTAGCTCTGGGTGTGGTGGTGGGTGGTGGTTGTCGGGAGGTTCGTTGTTGGAGGATGAGGAGTTTGAAGGCCTTGGCTGTGCTGAGGCCTGTTTGCTTGATCTGCTTGACTGCTTTCTGGGGCGAGGTCCTCCTCACCAGGTCGTTGCCCGGGCGGCCCAGCGATATGTTCTCCCCCGCAAGCCGCCTCCATTGCCGGTAGTACCGGCGGCGTAAGAGACGAGCTCGGCACCCCTGGCCTAAGAGGGAGGAAAGGGGGAGGACCTCTGTGGGGTTACACTCTTCGTTTGTCAGTAAACTGACTCCCGGCATGCCTCGCTGAGGCGGTGAAGGCTTTGACAGCGGAGCTGTGTGAATTCTTGTATCAAATTCCTGAATTCTATGTGTGAGCGGAGTAGACCTTGAGGGGGCCCTTTGGGATCTTCTAGGTCTCTTTTGGCTGAAAAATGCTGTACCACTAGAATTGCGAAACTTTCGTCGTCTACCAGTCCTACAGGGTTTGGGTCGGGGTGCTAAGCTAATCACTGGGGGCTGGTTAGTTGGGGGTCGCATTTGCAACAAAAAGGTGGGAGCATATCTAAGTTGGTCTGGGCGGAGTACTTGGGCGATGGGGTGCAGAACTGCATTTGGCGAGGCTGCAGTAGGGGACTGGGGTATTTGAGGTGGAACTAGGTCAGCAAGGGGGAGTACTTGGGGGATATTGTTGGAGGATGATGTGTTGGAGGGAAGTTCTTTTGGATGTTGATCACCAAGAAGTGAATGTAGGGATTTGTTTCTAGTAGCCTGCAATACTAAGTCGATACCAGATTGTAAGAGCCTGCCTACTGTGGTGAGTATGAGGGCATCCATGAAGATAATATGGAAGTATGATCTATCGGGTTGGGTATAGTAAACAAAAGTGAAACCCAGGACCAAATAAAGGGTGATAACATCATTCATGGGGGAGCTGTGTGTGATGCGTTTACCCCTTCTACACTGCTTCCTGCGAATCGGAGCCCTGTTCCACTGTACAGAACTAGCTAAAGCGATTCGTTGTGGCATCTGCAGTCTGCGAAAAAGGGGGTGAATTGTAGCAGGCGGAGTATGCATTTGTGGGGAAACGTTACCTAAAGGGGAAAGGTAGTGAGTATAAGGGTTAGCCTGCTGGCCTGGGTGTGCGGAGTGGCCTTGAGGCTGCTCTACCAGGTTGAGAAATTGAAAAAAGCGGGAGCGCTCCTCTTGAGAAAGTTCAAATGTGGCCGTCTCCAACACCCCTGGCGGTGTAGCCCGGTGGAAAAGGCTACCGCAAAACATGCATGGACCAATCGTCTTCGACCGACCCCGTCACGAAGCGGCGTGTGACTTCGGAGCCGCTGACGACTTGGCAAAAGGCCTATCCGGAACTGCTGCCGGAGGTGGCATACTGGCTGCCTCAGGCGGAGTAGCTGTGGCCTGGGGGCTGCCCTTGTACGTTGCAATTTTGTAGTCATTGACCTTCTGGTCAGGTTGGGAGAGCTTGTCACAATACTCGTCCCATACGAACGCGATTTGCGGGACCTGCCGTACCTGAATTGGGATCGGGTACGGCAACATGTCCGAACTGTAGATGAGCGGGGCGGAGTAATGGCGGCTGCCTCTGCACATCATCACACCTTTTCCGCTGCCTTTGGCATCGCGGAGTAAACTGGAAAACAAGGCCTTATCTGCGAGGTCCATTTCGTGCTGGACCCCAAACACAATCTCGTTCCACGAGTGGGACCAGCAGTTGGGCTCCTCTACGCCCTGTGGCGGAGTAGCTTGCATGGCCGCAGCCAGCTTTTCGTCGACCTCGAGCAGGGCCTGGAACTTGCCGTCAGCCTCAAAATAGTGCACTCTCGCGCAAGCGGTGGCCTCGGCGTCGAATTGTCGGTGCATCTGCGGACTCATAATCGTGAGGGTACGCCACAGTATCACGACCTGCTTCTCCGGGAAGACGTTGGTGTTGTTGATGAGGTGGAGCAGGACGCGCACCGGTATCTCGAGCTTCCGCTGGAACTGCGGAGTAGACGGGGAGACCCTGATGTGGTGGCCTGGGACCGCCGTTCTGCTGTCCTTGTAGAGCGGAGTACCAGTGGGGCCTGAGAAGGCCGACACGAATTGACGCCGCAAATCCCAGCTTCGAAACTGCAGGATGGTGATGGTGGACCATGCTCCCTGTCCTGCTGGCGGAGTAGCTGGGTCTTGCTGGAGGACCTCGAGAAACTTGTAGCAGGCCTCATCGTCGTCTCGGTTCACGTCACGGCCACGCTGTCGCAGGAAAACGCGGTTGCCCTCAACTTGGCGGAGCATCCAGTCGACCATGAACAGCCTTGTCTCCGGGTCCATGGTCCGCTCCCACCCTGACAGGATCACCTGAAGTCCGGAGGCTTGCTTCTGCGACTGCCTGTTGTCTGCCTGCATCCACTGCATGTTTTGCTGCACGCGGAGTACACTGTCGTTCAGGGTGGTAAGTGCCTGCTCGATCTGCCCGACGACGTTGTAGAGCTCGGTGCGAATGACACCAACATGATATCCGCGAATGGTGCGGAGTACATCGGCCCTGGTAGCGATGGGCTGCTGCATCCACTGCTTGATGGCCCTGGGATCATTGATGTCGACCCCTTCCTGCGCCGCTGCACATGCGTAGGCCGCATCCTGGTCGAGGGGGACCGGCTGGAGGAGCGGAGTAGCTGCGGGGGGCTTCTCCGCTGCGGCCGCGTCTGCTGCGGCTGCTGTGTCCACCAACATCTCCTCGTCTTCTTGGTCGTCTCCTTGCCTTGACTGTGTGGCGGAGTGGGCGAGGGAGGAGATCGAGGGCGTAGCCGGTGCGTGCCTCTTTCGGCTCTCCTGAAACCACATGTGTTGGCCTGCGGCGTAGACGTCCGTGCTGGTGACTTCCCTCATCTGCTGCATCTGGGTGACAGCGTGCGCGAGCTCCCCTTGCGATGGTCGGACTCCCGGGCCTGGAACTCTGCGGTCGTCCATGGCACCGTAAGGGGCTGGACCGAACGTGGTCCCTGGTGAAAACTGCCCAACTTGGTTGGGCGTAGTAGCCGAAGTGGGGGCTACGAAAAACAACAAACTGCAAAGGCGTGAAACTACCATGCTGCGAAGTAGTGACATATTACCACCCGCACATGCAGCCATGCAACGCTGACAGCCAAATGCCTGCTAGGCGGGTTTAGGATTCAGGGTTTAGGGTTCAGAGTTGAGGGTGTCTCAAGAGCTTAGGGTTTAGGATTCAGGGTTGCGGGTTTAAAGTTTAAGTTCAGGGTATCCCAAACCCTGCAACAGTAAGGTGGCCAAGGCGCCGGGATACGCTGCAACAAGCTGACCTCCTTCTCCTTGGTTTGGTACTACAAGGGACTTACAGTGTCGAAGGGTAGTTCCATGGTCCCTGAATATGGGCCCTTAATAGGGGGGCGCCTTACCCCTTGCCCCTTATATACCCTATGCAACCCAAGGCCCATAACTACTTCAGAACCCTTTTCAGGAGGCAAGGGACCATATTCAGGGCCAATGCAACTTCCCTTAGACAGTGTTTAGGAAATAAGGTCATAGTATGGGAAACTTGGGTACCAGGGTAAGCTTCGGGAAGATCTCCACCAAACCTAGTCAGCCACCAAGAAGGAAGTCAATAGGTACGACCGGCTGATAAGAGCTCAGTCGAAGGCTAGGCTTGAGTTGCGGGGCGCATGCTGGCTAGCCAGACATGAGGGCCATGACGGAATACTTCTGAGAACTGTTGCTTGCTGAACGCCGAAACCTGAATTCTGCACGGCAACTCCATGACCCCAGACCCCAAACCCTATCCCCCCAACCTGTCACGCTCGGCGGTACATGGCAGGCCGCTCTCAGTCGCACCTCCGTCTCGCCCTCCGTCCGCAGAACCTGGCAGCGTAGGGTCACACAAGCACACTGGCATCAAGAAGGGTTCAGGGTTCAGGATTGCAGGGCCTCACTTCAGGGCACACTACAACTCAATATTCCAACCCCTAAACAGCTTCAATTGCGAACCCCTAAACCCTAAAAACTTAGGCCTTCTGGAGAGCGTTTGGCTTTCGCGAAACGGAATCCCATCGTTTTCAGGGGCCTCGTGGATCTTGCCATACAGATCCACCGAGAGATTCCTCCAGGGCTCCATGGTGGGTTTGTCGGGGGTTTAGGGTTTAGGGGTTTAGGGTTTAGGGTTTAGGGTTTTGCTTGGGTTTCGGGTTTAGGTTTAGGGGAGGCACCACCAGCTCCTTTCGATAAAGAACTGGAGCATCTTGTTCGTCTTCTGCTGCTGGTCCACACGCGCCGCGCGGATGTTGTTCACCGTGTTGCCTTTGCAAGTCGGGTTGTAGAGTTTTGAGCTGTGGTGTAAGCTGAGGATGCAGGGTTCCTTGAACCCTCAAGCCCAAAGCCCTAAATGTATCAGCCAGGGTGCTGATGGATCCAACAAACGAGGAGAACACACCCATGGCCAGAAGGATGACAATCACGGCGAAGAACCTGCAGGCTTCTCTTTGGGATTTCGACTTTCGGGAGGCTTGCTCTAAGGGTTCTGTGCTTAGCCCCGGTTTCTTCGCGTCCGGTGCTGTAGAGGCTGCATTTCCAGGACGTTCACAACCTACAAACACCGAGCCCCAATAGACCCCTAAAAAGTCTCTAGGGTTGTATTGTTGAAAAGGGCTTCGGGGATTCTTGCTTGAGGTATATATGGGGTTTAGGGTTCCAGTACAGGAACTTTGGATTCTAGGGCTTCGGGGCCCCAAGTAAAATTCGCCCCAGTAAACCCGGAACTCTGAACCGTGGTGGGTTTCCGTCCCAACAATCACTTATATTTCTCTGGGTCAATGGGATTTGCATGGATTCGGGCACAGAGAACTGTAAGAAATGTGCCCAAAATGACCCACAGCAAACGTAAGACCCCATACCCTAAACCCCCAAGCCCAAGCCCCGAAAGCCTAAACTCTAAGCCCCCAGTCCTTTACTAAATGGCCTTTCAAAGACGTTGATGGGCGCGATGTTGTTCGTGGCCGGCGTGAACTGCGTCAGCGCCTCAGGGAATTTAGGCGTTGGGGCGTAGGGTTGGAAGCTTAGGGTTCAGGGTTTAGGGTTTAGGGTTTAGGGTTTCGGGTTTCGGGTTTCGGGAACTGAGGGAAGCTTCGGAAACCGTGAATCCCCACAAATCACCAGCCGCAAGAACTTCGGCCGTTGCGCAAGCTGAAACCCTATACCCCCGATAGACTCGCTTTTAACCCCAAAAGCCCTGAACCCATAACGCCTGGCCCTACAGACGCCATTACGCCCTGCAAGCCCGAGTAACCCTACCCACAAGCAAACAAGCATACCAGTTGATCATGTCTGCAGTAAAGGTTTCTTTTGTTCTTGGTAAAGGCCTATAGGGCAAATTTGCAAGTTGAAGGTGAGCGTATATATTGCCGCACCTACTTACATAACTTAACTTAAAACCCGATAAATCCATACACCCTATAAGCTCGATAAACTCGATTAACCCCAAAAGCCCTTAAGCACCACAGTCTTTACTGCTAAGCCCTATAAGCCCTAGTAACCCTAAACGCTCTGCACCACATTGTGCTGAGGTCGGATCCCAGTGAAGGGAAGCGAAGTACATCTCTGCGAAGTCATCCTATGCAGGGTTTAGGGTGCAAGGCCCTTAAGGGTTCATGGTTGAATATTCCATTTTATCGCCTCATATACAGTACCAGGCAAATAGTTTAGGCGCACAAGGTATACGGACATAAGCTACGGACGCGGAGTTCAGGAAGGTGCGAATCATGTGCCCGGGCTACAGGAGGAACTAACCCACCTGAACCAAAACTATACTATGACAAGTTGGGATGTTCCCCATTCTACTAACAGTCCTTCACAGGCCCATTGTAATCCCTATTGAGGACTGTTAGTATAAGGGGGAACATCCAAATCGATTATAAGTGGTCGGTGTTGGAGGGGAAGCTACTCCATTGTTTGGTGTGAAGACTCGACGAACTGGCTGCCTTCTTTAGTATAAGCCTTAAAGGGTTCAGGGATTTAGGTTCTTCTTCGCCAAGAAGAACCAGGCATAACCATGTAGACAAATTATAAGGGTTTCTAATATTCTTCGCCGAAAAGCTTATATTCCTACGCAGGCTGAGCCCAAACCCTAAACCCTAGATCCTAGACCTTAGGCCCTAGACCCTAGCAACCCAGAACCCTAAACCCTGAACCAGATCAGGGTTCGAAGTCCAGGGTCCTGGTTCAGTTCCGGATTGCCGATCCAACTGAACGTCGGGCCGAGCTCTTCCGCTTTCCTGCGACCGTCTGCAGGATTAAGGTTTAGGGTTTTAGGGTTTAGGGTTTAGGGTTTAGGGTTTTAGGGTTTAGGGTTTAGGGTTTAGGGCCAGGGTTTAGGGTTTGGGGTTTATTAGGGCCTGTTGGATTGCAACGGAGCCTGAGCGCTCCATTCAGGGTTTCCGGGTTTAGGGTTCAGGAACCCCTAAACCTGGTTCCTGATTCAGGAAACCCCTGAACCTCACAACTATCAACCTTACACCTCTAAACCCCTCCCTAACCTCAAGACTCCAACTATAGACCCTGCGCGCCTAGCCTGAAGGGCCGAACCCTAAGCCTCAGAAGCACCTAAACTTTAAACTTGAAACCCAAACTCCACTAAGGCCTCAAACCGGCAAGCTAGATTCCAACCTAAAGATGTGGGAAGCACCGTCTCGTGCTTGATGAGGGTCTTTTTGACGAATCGAACCGCTAAATGAAGGGCGAGAAGGGGAATCCTAAACCCTAAACCCTAAGCCCTAAACAATAAGCCCTAAACCCCTAAACCCTTAACCCTTAACCCTGCGGCCCCCCGTCCAGGAGCCAAGACCATACCAGCAGCAGGCGATGATGTGGTTGATGGCCAGCATCATCATCAGGTACGAGACCACCTCGTGGACCCTAGGGTTTAGGGTTCAGGCTTTTCATGGATCCCCTCCCTCTATACTATAGCCCCCCTGCATTCCCCCCATAAATAAACCTATTTAGGCTTGATTATGCCTAAATAGCCTTCATTACCGGGGGAACCTGGGGGAGGGTGTGTAGAGGGCGGCAGTAGGGAACCCATGGGGTTTATAGTGCTTAGGGTTGCACAACTCGCAAAACACTAAGACCTGAAACGCCACCAAACCCTATCTGGGACACCCAAAGGCTAAGCAGAACCCCCTCAACCCTATAAACCCTGATGAAGCCTTAAGCCCTTTACCCTGAGTAACCCTGTACCCTAATTCAACCGCACACCATGAACCCTAAACCCTAGTTCCCTAAGCCCTGAAACTCTGGAACCCCACAAATTTGCAAGACCTAGTGGGGGCTTACGATAACAAGGGACTCCTCATATGGACCCCCAAATAGTAGGCTTCCCTGGAAATAGGGATCCCAAAAAGGTACTCCTGATTTCGAAAACCCCCACATGGATACCCTCAACCCTAAACCCTAAACCCTAAACCCTAAACCCTAAACCCTAAACCCTAAACCCTATTCGGAAAGCCCCTAGTGGGTTGCGAAGGCTCAGGGGTCTTGGGGAGTTTAGGGCGAAGGGATTCGGGTGGCAGGGTGTTTGTTGCAGGGCCGGCTTCCAGAGTTCAAGGGGTTGTTTAGTGTTTAGGGTTTAGGGTTTAGGTTTGAGGATTCTAGGGTGCATCACCCTAAACCCTTAGGGCACAGCAGATAAACAGGACCAAAACAGCCCACAGCCCTGCTTTTAGCCGTAGTTGCTATAGAAAGGGGAAAAACCTAAAGACTGCCCCCGCCTTGATGATCATGAAGGCGTGTGTGGACAAAAAGCCTCGGCCGACGTTCTCAAACCCACAGTGGCGAAACTCCAACAAAGGGTTTAGGGCTCTGGGTTTAGGGGGTTAAGGCTCTGGGTTTAGGGGGATAAGGTTGAGGTAAGGAGGTTCGGTTCAGAGCTCAGGGTTTAGGGTTGGGGTTTCGGGGCTTAAGTTTTAGGGGTAAGGGGTTTAAGGTTTAGGGCGGGGTTCAGGTTTGGGATCTAAGGCCCGAAAGCTGCGATAACTGCGCCCAAAGCCCATTTAGGCTCCAAGAACTGTGGGATTGTCAGGGTTTCGAGTTTAGGTGCTTGGGCTTGCAAAGGTGGGCGTTGGCACCTAAAGTAAAACCCCTCGAAGCCCTGAACATGAAGTTGGGCATGCGCAGAAGGCGTGGCGAGCCTCTCTTTTCGCAAGCGCAGAGAGCCATGGATGATAGCCCCACACCCCTCATGTGAGAGCACGTGTGTAGCAGATTCTGGTTGAACATAGCATATTGTAATAGACGACCATACATTCAATAACTACAACAATCAACCCTGTTTCGCAACCTGTATACAATCTAGATTCTTTGCCAACACTCTAGACCTTAAATCCTAAGAAGCATTCAAAAGTCCGAAAGAAGGAACAACATAAAGCTTCGGGGTCCAGTCATGACAGGGTTTTGTTAACTCGGGGCTTAGCTTGAGTGAAGCCCTAAACTCGCTAAATCTATAAAGCTAAAATGTAAAGCCTACATTTACTCCGAAGCCCCTAAGATATGAAATTTCCCAAACTAGAATCCCCACAAGCCCTGTAAACCCTAAACCCTAAACCCAACACCTAAACCCTAAACCCTAACACCCTGCAGCCTGGCATGCCAAGAAGCGGTTGGCCAACAGGGTGAGCTCACGCTGCAGCTTCGCAACGCGCAGCAGTCGGATGAGCCGCAGCAGTCCTTGGGTCCAGGGTTCAGGGCTTAGGGCTTAGGGCTTAGGGTTTGGGGTTTAGGGTGTAGGGGGATTAAGCTGCAGATTCAGGGGGGGCATCTGGGGAAGATCGAGGGTTCATGTGTGCAAAGACATCGAGAGTATGTATTTCTACAGGAACGACACAGATGTGGGCATGTACACGTGGCACTGTCACGGCTGAACACGAAGCTGTACACTGCCCTAGACACTAAACCCTAACCCCCGTAGGGAGGCCACGTGCGTAAGAGTTCAATTGCTTCTAGAATTTGAGTGGAAAACCCCAAACCCTAAATCCGTAAGCATGCAGCATCAGGAGGCCTGATCATGATGGCGGCGGCAAGCTTCGGGGGCTTCCTAAAACTCAAAACCATAATCGCCCTAAACCAACTGTTTAGGGTTCTAAACCAACTGCTTAGGGTTCAGGAATTTGGGGCTTAGGGCACTCGAAAGCATTCCAGCACCCCTTCAGCCCTGAAGCGTACCTTTAGCACCTGCTTCGCTTTAGAGCTCAGGGTTCAGGGGGTTCAGGGTTTGGGGTTAAATATAGGGTTTATAGGGCTTGTAGGGCTTCTAGGGTTAAAAGGGCCTGTAGGGCCTGTAGGGCCTGTAGGGCTTAGGAGAAGCTGGGTGGCGCAACGTCCGCAGATATCTGGCGGAGCGGAACACGGCGCCCCCAACATCAGCGATGTGGATCGCCTGCCGCATGGCTGTGGAGGACCGCAAGCCCTTTACACCTGCCCGAAATGCCCTGAACTCTAAACCCTATAAGCCCTATAAACCCTACAAACCCTCCATAAACCCTGTGAACCCTATGAACTCTATAAACCCTATAAACCCTATAAACCCTAAGCCTATTCCTTTTAAACCCTAAACCCCAAACCCCAAACCCCAAACCCCAAACCCTAAACCCCAAACCCCAAACCCCAAACCCCAAACCCTGTCTGCCTGCCAAACCCTACTCTCCAACCCTGTCTGCCCGCCTCCATAATAATCAGGACGGCATCCAAGGACACAATCGCCACATCGGCAGCAAGCCAAGTGCCTGAGTCCATCTGCTTAGGGTAGAGTTTAGGGCTTCTTGTTTGCTGTTTGGGGTTTAGGCTTTGTCTTGCAGCTCTCTCCTGTTGAAAAATAGCCTAGGGGGCTTAAAATCCAAAAGTTTCATGCCGTCGAGCTTCCGCTGGCACAAACAGAAAAGGACGGAACAAAACCGGAGATGACCGAAGATGAAGCCAAGCTGTTGGGTGCCCGAGTGGGCGTATTTGAATGCTTACCTTAGCTAACCCTAAACCCTAAACTCTAAACCCTAAACTCTAAACCCTAAACGAAGGTACCACGGGGAGTTGCCAAAAGCGGACCCCAGGGTTTAGGATTTAGGGTTTAGGGTTTTAGTTTTAGGGTTTCGGGGTTAGGGTTTAAGGGTTAACGACTGCAACAAGGACCCTTGGGCCAAGCAGATTTCCATGCGGACCCATCATGTGGATCTTTGAGGCACTGTAGGTTGGGGTGCCATTCTGGACTTGGCGTCGACGTGGCGCATGCAGCATGGGGCTTTGTGCAGCGTGATGCTCTTGCAGCCTTGCAGATTGGACTATAGGAAGTCAAGTGAAAACTTTCAGCCCTGACCCTAAACCCCCACCCCCAAGCCCCAACCCCCAAGCCCTAAGCCCTTTAGAAGCCCTCAACCTTAATCCCAGAGCCGCAAAGGCGCGCATGTACATCCGAGCCAGCACCCGTGGTCGCAGTTCCACCATTCCTGCGGCGCAGACTAAACCCGAGGCCCGAAGACGAAGAGGAGCCCTAAGTGAACCTGAATGCTGGGTGGTTATGGAGTCATAGGGTCTATAGGGTTCGTGTAGGGTGTAATAGGGTTTGTTTAGGGTTTAGGCATAGGCGCAAAGGTCCCTGGTACTGCTTGGCATCTATGGATTATGATTTAAGGTTTGTACGGTTCAAGGTTTACGGCTTATAGGGTGGTCGTGGTAATAGTGGTAGTAGTGGTAGTAGTGGTAGTAGTGGTAGTAGTGGTAGTAGTGGTAGTAGTGGTAGTAGTGGTAGTAGTGGTAGTAGTGGTAGTAGCGGTAGTAGTGGTAGTAGTGGTAGTGGTGGTAGTAGTGGTAGTAGTGGTAGTAGTAGTGGTAGTGGTAGTAATAGTAGTAGTAGTAGTAGTAGTAGTAGTAGTAGTAGTAGTAGTAGTAGTAGTAGTAGTAGTAGTAGTAGTAGTAGTAGTAGTAGTAGTAGTAGTAGTAGTAGTAGTAGTAGTAGTATTAGTAGTAGTAGCAGTAGTAGTAGTAGTAGTAGTAGTAGTAGTAGTAGTAGTAGCAGTAGCAGTAGCAGTAGCAGTAGCAGTAGCAGCAGAGCAGCGGCAGTAGCAGTAGTAGAAAGGTTTAGGGCTCAGAGTTTTCAGAGCTTAAGTGAGGGCGTCGGTTTGAAAAGCCATGTTACCTCTAAAACCCAAGCCCCAAACCTAAACCCTAAGTCCTAGACCCTAGACCCGAAACCCTTAAAGCCCTATAAACCCTAAACCCAAGAAGGCCTTCCAGCTGCACGCCGAAGAGGAAGTGTAAGGGAATGTCCAGGAGCCAGAAGGTGAAGGAGATGATTCCTCGGGTGCTGGACTTTGGGACTTGGAGCGCTTAGGGATTTAAGGGCTTTAGGGTTAAGTTTAGGGCTTTAGGGTTTAGGCTATAGGGTCTTGGAGTTTAGGGTTTAGGGATTTAGGGTTCTTGGGGGTTTTGGGGCTCATGGGGATTACCAGCCTTCCTTTTCCCCGGCTCCAAATACTCTAACCCTTCCTAGGCCTTCGTTTCAGGACCACTCCCCGCCCCCCCTCCCCACCCCCTGTCTAAACGCGAGCTCGGACTATTTCTCGCTGGAGGTCACTAACCCTAAAACCCGAAACAGAGAAGAAAAATAATGGCGGTCTCCAAGAGGAAGGCAAGGATCCCACGGTGTCCAGGAAGTTTATGAAGTCCGGGATGTGAAACCTGAGAGTCTCAGAGATTGGGTGATGTCATGAAAGGGGGGCTTAAAGGGGGGCTTAGGGTTTAATTAGGGGGTAGGGCTTCCGGAACCCGATTTTTGCGAAGTCCAGACAAACGCTTCCCAATCGCACTCCAAATCCCTCCCTGGCCCCAACTCAAACCCACAACCCTAAACGCAACCCAAAACCTCAAATCTTCAACGCCCCAACCCCCAACTAAACCCTGAAGCCCAGGTAAACCCAAGCCCAAAAGCCAAGAGCCCTAAACAACGGGGGGGGGGGGGGGAACTTCATTGGGCTAAAGGGTTTAGGAGTTTTGGGGCCTTAGGGGATAGGGCTGAGGGGAGGAGGGCCTAGGTCTTCAGAATCCTTCACCACAAGGTGCCCTAAGAGCCCGAAAAAGATTGCGGGCACAGTGCCCTTCAACAAGGGCCAAACTGCCCTTCAACCCTCAACCCTAAACCCTAAATCCTAAACCCTAAACCCTAAATCCTAAACCCTAAACCCCAAGCCTTTAAAACCCTTAAAGCGGTACAGCTTGAGTTGCATCTCCAGCGGGATGGTGATCAGGTCCCACAGAATCAGCAGTGAGGAGCACATGGACCAGAACAGCTGCCACTTACCTCGGGTCTTGGGGGGGTTTAGGGGGTTTAGGGGTTTAGGGTTTAAGGGTTGAGGGTTTGGGGTCTAGGGTTTTGTGTTTAGGGCTTGGGGCTTAGGGTTTAGGGCTTGGGGTTTAGGGGATTCAGGGTTTAGGGGTTTAGGTTGAGGGGTTGAGAATTCAGAGCTTAAGGGTTCAAGGGTTTGAAAGTCCAAAGGCTTCGGGGTTCAAGATTTAAGGGTGAGGAGTTAAGGGTTCAAGGGTTTAGGGTTTAGGGTTCAAGGGGTCCAAAGGTTTAAGGTTCAGGGATTCTGGGTACACCTTGGGACCATCCCCAAGCTGGCTTCTGAATGTCGAGCTGGTACGTGATTTCTGCCGCCTTCAGCTCAGACACTCTTCCTGGAACCGGTCCTGCCAAAGGAGCCCTCTGGCCTGCGCTCACCATTCAAGTGGCTATTGTGTTGGGATGTACGTAGCTGTACTAGTTTTTGTTTGGAAGTAGTCTATTCTCGATCTGGTGCTGGTTCTCAAAGATCTCCCTCTGATTTGCCACGGTCATCATCCAGCTGACGTTGAGGTGCTCGTCGTTCTTGCCGGTACGTACCTAGTACGCTCTACCTCGCACGGCGCTGCAAAACCTGCAGCCTACGTCCCTACGTGGCTGAGTTTAAAAAGCAAGCTACTCATGGCTTCCCTGAACACCCCCCCCCCCCACCTTGCCCTTAAAACTATTGGGGCAAGAATCCCAGCCTACTGGTAAAAACCGCGTGACCAAAAAACGAACAAAAGACGGACACCCTAAGCCCTAAACCCTGACCCGTAAACCCAAACACCCTAACCTGAAAGGTCAGAAGCCCCTGTCACCGAAATCCTGAAATGGCTCTGAAACCCTCAAACCTCAAACCCTGAAACCCTGAAACCCTGAAACCCTCGAACCCTCAAACCCTCAAACCCTCAAACCCTCAAGCCCTCAAGCCCTCAAGCCCCAAATCCCACAAACCCTGTAACCCCCCCATAAACAGCCTTTGAACCCCAAACACCAGAGACCTGAAGCCTAAACCCGAAAGACCTAAACCCTAAACCCGAAACACCTAAACCTGAAACCCTAAACCCTAAATCCTAAACCCTAAGCCCTAAATCCTAAACCCTAAACACAAAGAAAGGAACATGTAAAAACCTTTGCAACGCACACCAGAGCTCGCGACCAGACTCCTAGACCACCTGAAGCCCACACGCTAAACCTTACTTGGTAGCCCAGGAACCATATAATGATGAGGGTACCCTTCTTTGGGTTGGGTACTTTAAAAGGGGGAACCTTGAACCAACCAAAAAGAGACAAAAGGGCACCACTGGGCTACTAAGTACCCCTAAACCCTGAACCCTCAACCCTAAACCGCCTAAACTCCTAAACTCCTACGCTCCTGCGCCCCTAACCTCCTAAACTCCTAAACTCCTAAACTCCTAAACTCCTAAACTCCTAAACTCCTAAACTCCTAAACTCCTAAACTCCTAAACTCCTAAACTCCTAAACCCTAACACCTAAACCAAGTGACTCGCCATCCGGCCTTATTTTAGGCTGGATCAAGCTCCAAGCAGCTCTGCGGACCGACGACGAAGGGTTGGAGGCAGGAGTGGTCAATAAAAGCATCCTGGAAAAGAGGGTTTAGGGTTTAGGGTTTAGGGTTTGGTGTTTGGAGTTTAGAGTTTAGGGTTTAGCGTTTGGGAATTTAGGGGTTTCGGGTTTAGGGGTTTAGGGTTATAGGCATGGGGTTTATGGTTTCGGGTTTATGGGTCATTGATTTAAGGTTTAGGGTCGGGGCGTAGGCCGAGGGGCTTGACGTTCAGAGTGTTACGGGTTTAGGGTTTTAGGGGCTTCGAGCATTTTTGGGGTCCAGGGTTGGCCAAGCATCTCGCTAAAATGTTGTACCCGGAAGATCCTGAGTCCTGTATTTTGTGACAATTAGCCCTAAACACTCCTAAACCCTAAAACCTAGCTTAAGATTCAAGGTTCAAGGTGACGGGGTGTTACAGTGTCGCAAAGTCCCCAAGAGCACGTTGCTGGTGGCGTGGGGGTCTTAGGGTTCCTAGGGCTTTAGAGATTTCGGGTTTGAGGGTTTAGGGCTCCAGGGTTTCTCGGTTTTCGGAGGTCTAGGCACTTAGGACACGGCGGCCCTACTGCCCTAGCTGGCTGAAACCCGAAACCCGAAACCGCAGGGACCCAAGGGGCCATGACGCGCCGAGCGGCATTCACGCGGAAGGACTGGCCCAGCGCGCCATGGGACACGCGCGGCTTCCTTTGGCGGGGCTTGAGGTTGAACTACAGTGTTTGGCCCTAAACCCTGAACCCTGAACCCTAAACCCTAGACGCTAGACCCCAGACCCCAAACCCTAAACCCTAAACCCTGAACCATAAAGCCTGAACCCTATTGAAGGGCTGCGTGGCTTGCCGATGAGGGCTTCAAAAATTTTGGGGCTTTGTACTCGTAGGCTCGAGTGTCTGAGACCTATATACATACAGGTGTCGAGAGTCTTGGGGAACCCTCAACCCTAAAACCCTAAAACCCTAAAACCCTAAACCCTAAACCCTAAAACCCTAAAACCCTAAAACCCTAAAACCCTAAACCCCTGACTCTACTCAACCCGGGCCTCTATACTCCGGTTTACAAGGAACCCTCAGCCGCAAACATCTGAGCTAGGTCTCAAGGATCCTAAATATCCAAAAACATCTTGTTGAATTAGGTTGTACAAGATCAAAAAGTTTAGGGTTGAGGGTTGAGGGTTTAGGTCTTAAGGGTTTGGGGCGTAAAGACGAAGAGCACTACTGGGCGCCCTATCTTACTGCAATCGGAGTGTTAGGTTTAGCAGCTGCAAAAATGACAAGCCGCCAAACAGATTCTAGTGCTTAGTGGCTTAGGGCTTTGGGTCTTGAGTTTTGGGTTTCGGCATTAGGGTTTGGAGTTATGGTTTTACGGTTTTGGGTTTGGGGTCTTTGGAATCTAGTTTCGTCTCTGCACAGTTGAAACACCCAAGTGCCCTAGAGAAAATGGACACCCTTTTGGGTTTCATGGGGTACGGGTAGTTACATGGTCCCTTAGTATGGTCCCTTAACTCCTTAAAAGGGTTTTGAAGAACGGAGTTTGGGTTGTATAGGGTATATAAGGAGTCCCCATTTATGTAGCTACCCTCAGACATCACCCCAAAACCTTAAAACCCCAAGACGCCTGCGGAAGAAGAGCTTGGGATTCTCGAGCACAGAAGCACTCCAAACCTACCAGCGCTGGATGTTGAGCTTTGGGTTTTGTGGTTGCTTTTCGGGTCCGGGGGTTACGGCTTAGGCTTAGGACTTCAGGGTTGAGGGGTTCAGGGGATTAGGGTTTGGGGTGTAGCATTTCAGGTTTAGTCATAGAAAGAATTCATAAAAACCGCACCTCAAATCCTGAACCACCTGAATTTTAACCTCTGATCCGAAAGGGACCGGTTGAGAGCGGATGCTCTAGGCTCCTAGACCCCAAAGGCATTTTAGGGGCTAGGGCTTAGGTTTTAGGGTACCGAAAAAGTGATGCGAAGACCTCCCCGTTAGGTTAGGCTCCATGAAGGTTCCGGAGCCACTGACCCTAAACCCCAAGCATCAAGCCAAACAAGGAAAGGCCTGACGCATGTGGAGCTCATCGGAATCCTGGGGCTTAAAGTGTTGCTGGGTCTGCCGAGGTCAGGGTTTAGGGATAAGGATTTAGGATCTAGGGTTTAGGTTTAGGGTTTAAGCTTTAAGTATTTTCAGGTTCAGGGCTTTTGGCCAATAGTTCGTTCCCGTAAAGGCTTGGGGTTCTTGGTTGCAGCTTTCGGGTCTTTCGGCTTGTTTAGGGTTTGTAGGGCTTGGGGTCATGGAGTCTTAGGGTTTAGGGTTGGGGGGTTTGCGTCTGAATTGTAGTTATTTTGTGTTTGGGGCTTCCGGTCGAGTGGTTTCGGAATGTGGGTTGGGGGTTTATAGGGGTCTAGCGGGATGGAGGGAAGGCTCAAGTGCATGTCGGGCCTAGGGATATATGGTTCCGATACATGCAAAAGTGTGAGCTCCAACACTCCACCTGCAATGCCCCTGAGACCCTAAACCCCGAAACATGAATCCCCATATAAACCCTAAAGCTAAACCCTGAACCCCAACCCCCAAACCTTCCATCCTTGCAGCTTGAAGAAGCGAGATCCTCCCCGTGAAGCTTAACTCACAGACCGCGGGTGAGAGGGTTCAAACATAAACAGTGTCCTTGGTTGGGGACCTATGAAAATACGGAACCCAATTTAATTCCTTTAGCCCCAAACCAATGAAGAGGAGACATAATTAACCCTAAACCCTAAAACCTAAAACCTAAACCCAAAAAAAGCTGCCCATGTGCGAGTTGCCGAAGTGGAGCCAAGTTGCCACCACTGCCGGTGCACTATTGGCGGCGAACCTCAGCTTGCGCAGCTTCCCATGGGAGCCGCGGGTTTCATTTAGGGGGGGGGGGGGGGCCCAGGGTTTAGGATTTCGGGGTTTAGGGCTTAAGGTTGGTTTAGGGAAACCTGGGGTTGTGAGTTGCTCTTAACTTGGTCCCCTTAAATAAAGGTTTCTGAAGAAAGAAGGCCGGAAGGAATCTGAATCAATTCACAGGGTCTGTGTAACCAACACGAACTGCTGAATTCTTGCCTCTTGCTGCTCGAGCGCTTGATACCTTAAAATCTACCTTGGGGACCAAATCTACCTTGAAAGGGTTTATGGTTCATATTGCTCGCATAGGGATCATCGTAGTATAGGGTAGATGATCCCAAATTTCAATATGGTCCCCAAGGTAGTTACACCCGGGGCATGTCGTTGATTAGGGACTCTCCGGCGCCGCGGAATGCACACCACCGCAATGTCTAGGGGTTCTACCTTGGACCCTTAAGGTGGTACCCTTGGGTTTTGGGGACCCTTTTTAAAGATCCCTAGGGGCATATCAGGGCCATATTAGGAGTTATATTAAGGGGAAACTTTAGGGGTACAACCTTAGGGGTACGAGTCTTCATCCCTTGTGTGGGTGCTCAGATGACACATCCGAAGCCCCATGCCTCGCACCCCTGCAGCAAGCAGCGACCGCAGGTGGAAAGCCGGAAGCCCGACCTCACAAACCCTAAATTCTAGACCCTTTATACCTGTAGAGGGGCTGGCCCCACTCCAGGTTCTTAGATCCCGTCGTGGGCGTCGCCTCAGAAGCAGAACAGTTGGGGAGATGCCAAAGGTTGAGGGCTTAGGGTTTAGGGATTAGGGTTGAGGATGTTTCCTTGAACACCCCACCTCAGAGCATGTGTACGACTACCCCTCACTGAGGCTCCGATTGTTGAGGGTTTAGGGTTTAGGGTTGCGGGGGACGGAGGGTCGTGCCACAACGCGAACTTTCGCTGAAGGAGGAAGATGTGGCACAAAGGTCAAAACCA